TTTCCCTGCAGCCTGTCCTCAGCAGCCCTTCGCTGGGCAGAGCACAGCCTCAGGGCACAGACCTCGCTGTCCTTCCCAGCGGACCAGAATAGCAAAGAGCCAGGGCAGCGCTTTATCTCATTTAATCTGCTTGGATGTCTTGGGCCAGGTTCACTGCTGTTGAACATCCTGGAGTGGAAAAGGGAAGTTTGAGCTTTTTAAAGACCTGCAGCCTGTCCTCAGCAGCCCTTCGCTGGGCAGAGCACAGCCTCAGGGCACAGACCTCGCTGTCCTTCCCAGCGGACCAGAATAGCAAAGAGCCAGGGCAGCGCTTTATCTCATTTAATCTGCTTGGATGTCTTGGGCCAGGTTCACTGCTGTTGAACATCCTGGAGTGGAAAAGGGAAGTTTGAGCTTTTTAAAGATCCTGAAAGGGTTTTTTGCTCACCAGTTTATTTTTTTTGTCTGTACAGCACCACGTGCATCCTTGCCCTGCCTGTGGGATTATCTACCGAGCAGATGAGCATCACCCGCCCATACTGCCTGTTCGAGCGCAGCTGCCGATGCAGCTCAGCGGCAGCTGGGTGAGCACCCACTGCGAGGTGAGACCCGCGGTGCTGTTCCTGACCAGGTACTTCATCTTTCACGGTAACAACCACACTTGGGAAGGTTACTACTACCACTACTCCGACCCGCTCTGTAAACAGCCGACTTTCACCATCTACGCATCTGGGCATTACACAGAGGGCATCCCCTCCTCCAAAGTGCAAGGTGGCACAGAGCTGGCTTTTAAAGTCACCCAGGCTCGGGTGACACCGATGGACCCGGTGACGGCGACGATGCTGAACTCCTCCGAACCTGGAAGCTGTGGGCTGGCCGGCTCCTGGAGCACTGGGGGGGAGCAGGATATAACACCCACGAACGGGTGCCTGGCTTTGGGCATCAGGCTGCCCCACACAGAGTACGAACTATTCAAAACGGAGCAAGACGCGAAGGAGCGCAGCCTCCTGTACATCGGCGAGAGGCCCACCGACGGCTCCAGCCCCGACCGCCCGGACAAGCGGCCCACCTCCTATCAGGCACCTCTGATTCAGTGCGCTGCAGCGCCAGAGGAATTCTCTAACTATGTTAGTCTAAAGTACTTGGGAAAAAAGGATGCTAATGGGAATGAAGCACTAAAACCTTTGCCTGTGGCCTTTCTATTGTTTATAGCACTTCTGTTTTTAAGATGGGACTAGTTACCTATTGAGGTACAGCACAGAATTCAGATAGTCTTGGTGCTAGTGTGATTTTATATCCTTCAAATGAGCACATATGGAAGCAGTTTTTTTCAGATCTGGAAACTCTTTAAAAACAACCAACAGTGAGTGAAGCCACGCAGATACGCCTGACTACATGCTGTTTGTCCTGTGGCTTTATTGCCTCATCTCCCCTCTTTGCCTACAATTTTAATGTAGTGACACGGATGCGCTGCACGTTGCAATAGATAATTTAGCAATATGAGGGGGGGGAAAAGCGACATCAATTACAGTTGCTGCTTTAAGCTTTTGACATTGCTAAGATTTAATCAAGAGCTTGATTCAGATGTAATTCAAACATCCAAAGCGTCGGCTGCTGAGTTTCTCTGAGTTTAAGTTCCCTCCCATCATACTCCTTATTGCTGCTCTTGCATATTTAATCTGCAGAGTCAGGCAGCAATAGATAAAACAGTTGGCAAGGGTTCTTGATAAGGGTGCAGTTAATCATGCCTTTCTCAGCTTGCAGACATCTTCTGCGGTTCTTGTGTGCATGTACACACACACAAAGATGCGACGCACAATCTGCCACTCACAGACGGCAGCCCTGGCAGAGCATTACCCTGGTCATAAAAGAAGACACAGTAAAAGGAGAACGCTCCAACCTTCAGCATTACCCAGCTGCAGACACTGCGTCCTTGCTGCATTATCCTGGCTTTCCAGTGCAGGACTGGCCTGTGCTTCAGTACCTCAGCACTGCCCCGGGTCACTGCCGGCCGCTGTGACTCCACTCGCCACACACCAAGTGGAGCAATAGATCACTGGCAAGTCTTTCAGGCCATGTATTTTACAGGCTCCCTTTTAGGAAGTCTACTGGCATAGCAGTTGTTAATCCAGCTCTCCTTTCAATCAAAATGTCACTTCCAGCCTCATTCCTGTAGAGATGCTTTATAAATCTGCCTCTAGTGAATGATGGGCTGAGCAGATACTCAAGAGCACAGTCAGGTCCAACTGATTTCTACTGACAAGAAGGACAAACTAAGAAATTAAATTCCCTGTCTGCTGCACCTAAGAAGCATATAACTGACATGGAGAAAGAAGCCCTCCTCCCAGCAGCTAAATCTTTTCCAAATAAGCCTATATATCTTACTCACAAAGGGTATTTTGTTAAACCAGCTATGCAATAGCTACCTTCTTAATGCTGTATGTACGAACTTGAAGCTTGTATACTTAGATAAATTATGGGGTTTATAACACAAAAATACTTCTGAGGGATCTGTACATTAACAAGTAATTCAAATGAGATGCTTATTAAATGCGTACAATTGTGACATAAATGTTGTCAGCATGTTCCTGGCATGATCTAATATTAATCATGCACATTACTTTTAAGGTGAAACACAAAGGCCAAGCTTGGCTACCTCGCCTTGGTTCCCTCTGCCATCACTGGAGGAGGAGACTTCTCCAGGGGTTAGTTCAGCAGGCAAAGTATCTCCCTGCTTCTAAGAGTTGTTGGGTTTTGTTGCCTGCTACCATGTGGAGATCCAGTTTGATGAGCTGGAAGTGAATCTTGCAGAATGTGGCATCTCCTTTGGGATGTCCGTGTTAAGATGCTCTAAGCTGGGGCATGTCTGGGGCAGCACAGCCACATCTCTATAAACCATACATGTGGCAGGACTTTCTTTTCAGCAGAGCAGCTTCCCATCACCATGCCAGAGCAGGCACCCGCCACAGCCTGGAGCAAAGGTTCCTGTGACTCCAGTCAGCAATGTTACATGTTCCTGCAGAACCCAAAGATGTCCATCGCAAGAACATGCCTTCTGCTGTCTTTGGAGGGTGGGTGGAAGAGTGGGAAGGCAATTCCTGCCCTGTATTTACTCCCAAGAATGAGATTTGTGTGCAGATACTTTTTTGTTTTTCATTTACAAAGCAAGTGTTCAGATACCACATGGTGTAAAAAACTCCTCCAAGACCACAGACGCTTTCAGGGTGGTGGTGGGATTAACATGATGTAAGAAGTGACAAGACAACATCACAATGTACGTAACAGGCACTTGAGAAAGGTCCCACCTCCTCCCACAGCTGGCTCCAGATGCTCACACACAGCTCTGCACCACGGGTGGGCTCTGCTGACTGACTCTCCTATGGAAGCTTCACCAGGAGCCTCTTTGTCCTGTTCCCACCCTCCTCCCCCACTTAAATATACTTCTGAAAGTAAAAAAAGCCATGAAAAAGCTATTTGCATAAATATCATAACTTTTATTGTTCTGTTCACAGTTTTTTGAAGAAACATTCCTAAATTACACAGTTATTCTCTCTATAAGAGTTTGTGCCTTTTTCCAATTGGAATTGGCCTGGCTCCCACTGCCAGTCAGTGCTTGGCGTTGTGTTGCTCTTTTTAAGATCAGAGAGCTGCAGTGTTCAGTATTTTCTCCTCGTGAAGGTACCTGTGCACTGTAATCACGGTATTCCCAATTCTGGTAGCTAAACTCAGCCATCTGAGTTCTCTCTCAGCCTCTCTAAGGCATTTTCACACTCCACCAGTAATTTTTGAATCTTTTTTTGTTGTTTTGCATCCATTCCAATTACTCAGCTTCTCTTTTAAAATGTAAATATCCAAACTGCATCCCAAATTCCCAACTCTCACAGCTGAGACATACACAAGTATAATCACTTACTGCCTAACAGTAATTAAAGACAAGAACACATTCTTACTCATTAGTCTTTTATCCTGGGACTGCGCTGGAACACGTGTGAAGCTCTCACTCACTCTGGGCCTGGGTATTTTTGTCACGGTAACATCTTATCAGTAGGGATTTTGTACGTTTCCAGTAGTGATCTGGAACCACTGAATCATGTCTGGTCCCAGCAGGACCCTTCTGTGAGCATCCCCATTTCATTTTGGTTCTCCTTGAATACCCACTTTTGAAATGCGATTGTCAGAGAACACCAAGCGTTGTGGGGGGTGGATATACTCAGTTCACTCTGAGTAAAAAGAAAACCGAAAAACAAAGAATCAACTGACTTAAACTCTGCTCCTTCACTCACCCCATCTCCTTTTTCATCCCTTCCCTGGGTGCCAAGCTGGCCAAGAACTGTGCCTGGGCCGTCCTGTCCCAGCTGCCATCCTTCACATCAGCAGGTCACGGACTGCCCTTAGAGACAATGACACAAGGTTTCTACACCCACTGAACTTAAATGTGCTAATTTTTATTACTAGACATTGCCAATGAATGACATCACTTTGCCAGTTCTCTCACATCACCACTAGCACCAGCATCACATGCATCTAGCAGTGGTCCTTATCCTACCACAAAGATTTCTTCTGAACTTTGGCTCTTTATCAGCCTCTCCAAGCACTCCAACCCAGTTTTCTTTTCCTTTGGCTGTTGCTTTCCTTATTATTTTTTTCCGTAACTCATTTTGAGTTGATTTCTGTCTGCTTCCCTTTTCCTTACTTGTTTTACATGACTTTACATCTAATTTTTTCCTTCATTTCACCACTGAAACAGGGTGGGCAGTTAGCAAAATTACTGGATTTTTGGTCCTTTAATACCTTTCTCTTTGAAAACTGCCCAATCTAGTTCAGTTTTCCATTAATTTCTTCACTACCAGATCTGATACGAAATTTGCTCAGCTATGGCCTTTTGAAGTACCAGTTACACTGTTAGCAGCCTGCATGGCTGTATGCTTCACTCAACCATCAGGATTCCAAACTCCTAGTTCTCTATTAATTCATCTCTATCTGACAAGAACAAGACAAATCCAAATAGCTTCACGTTTCATGTCTAACACTGCATTAGAAAAACAGGTCTGGGACACACACTATGAACGTTAGTCCTGACTACTGGATAGCCATCTTCATGGCCCCGTTTAAATCACCTTAGAACATATTTTGGACTCTAGATTTCCTAAACAATTCTTAAACAAAACACACACACACAAAATCAATTCACTTCTGGATGTATTAACAGCATTGAGCCAGTGCTTCATTTGATAAGCAATCCACACTGAGTATGAGCCTCTTATTCACTATAAATATGCTGCATTGCAACAGCAGAAAGGAGACAGAAAGGAGGTGGCTGACAAGACTCATTGCTCCAAACTCTACACAGAGTGAAGAGGAAAAAGGAACAGATTTCTCAAAGAGGAAGCAGGAAGGTGAGTGGTTACCTGGGCTGGGAACCAGACTGGACATGATGTGCCAATGGGCAGCTTGGGTGCAGCCACCCAGTGCTCCCGCTGGCCAGGAGTCCAGGACAGGCAGGACTGGAAGGGCAATGGGAACAAAGAGACTGAGCTGGAAAGCAAACAGGCAGCAGAGAAGAGAAACCATTCAGGGACACTCATCTGAACGTCTGATTTTTTGGCAAGGAGCAGGGAAGGAACAAGGATGACTTCAATTGAATCAAATGGCTGAGGGAGGGAATGGAGTGCAGTGTGACAGCTCAGGCAGGATAGATCAGGAAAGGAACTGGGCAGGAGAGTCTGCAGTCTTCACAGAAACACTCTTTTGGGCTCAGAACTGAAGCAAAAATTCCTGGCTCCAGTCACACTTGCATGTGGCCTCCCAGTGAAATGTGAAAGCTGATATTGCTGCTTCAGCTCAGAGTTACTACATCAGATGCTTGGGTCAAGAATGGATGTCCATAAGCAGGACATAAAGGATTCCATCCCGACACACACGTGGGTTACACCTAATACCACAATGCCATTTTTTAAGTTCAACAGTTCAACTTTTATAAATCTAATTAGATGTATTTTAAGAGAACTTAAGGTCAGGCACACGAAGCGAGGCAGTTTTAGACAATTTCTGGGCAGCCTTAGCTCACTTTTCGACCCGGCACTGAAGGCTTGATTGGGTACTGCCTTGTAGTCACAGAAAGTGGCCAAAGTAACAGTGCACAAACTTGGTTTTGCCATTTCCTAACTTCTGAGTGCTTGACTTTGTGCAGGCTTCATAAAGGTCTTTTAAAAGTAGCTGTGTGTGGATAATTGCATGTGGGAACTTTGCCAACTCAAACATGAGGGAATTCAAGAGGCTTTTCTAATCTTGTGAGTTTATCCACCGAAGAAAAAGATTTGATTAAAAAAAAATGAAGTACAGCTAAACTGGGAACAATATCACAGACTGTTCTTCAGTTCCTCACAGGCACTTCAAAATGTTGGGGGAAAAAAAAAATCACAAAATTAGGAACTTATTAAAGAAGAATGAAACGTACCGATGCAGAAACATAAACAGAAATGCCAGATGTATAATGTCAACTTGTAATATGCAGTTTCAATTAATTCTTCTTAATTCATTTGTTTTCTTAACTTCTTTTGTTTTGCCATCTGGAAAAGACCATTTTCTAATGACAGATCATAGGAGGAAAGATCCAACGTTCAAGCTTGCTTCAAGGAAAAGCAGCCTTGTTTCTGTGCTCATGTAGTTCTCGCTCATGCAGAAGCTTCAGGACGAACTTAGGGCTGGACTGGGAGGCAAAAAGATCTACATGGAAGTTTAGTGAAGTTTTCAAAAGATTTACTCTTCAAAATACACATGAAAGCAGTTCTGTGAAAGGAAATATGCCACAGAAAGAGCGGAGTAAATGACAGGTATACAGGCGTGTGGAAGTGCACAAGTGCACGCTCAGTAGAGAATTACATGTAAGAGATTTCTGGCTGGTACTTGTGTTACTTTAAAAAATAATCTACATTTATCCAGTAAAAAAAAAATCAACCCATTAATAAAACAAACAAATTTTATAGTTAAGCAAATATGAGTAGTGGAAACACACAATTACTTTGTCCTCTGAAGCTTATCAAAACAGAAGTTAATAACAGCACAATGAGTAATGTCACTTTTGCACTGACCCATTAGACAAAGTGATTCAGTATACACGAGGCTGTCAGCATAACATAAAGAAATCTTAATTGGACATGGTCAAAGGATCAGCACTGCCCTGCTTGAACAATAAATCCCACTATTTATCTAACAGTAACAGATGATTTACACCAGCATTGCATCCCCCAGTCATCCTTGTATCTACAGAACTGCTAGGTTTCACTCTATGAGCAACCAGCCTTGCTCAGTATTTGCTTTTCTTTGTAAAATGCCTAAACATTGGTTTACACACATATTTTCTAATTAGTAAATTTATTTGTAGGTATGTATCTGATTACAAAGAATAGCAACTTCCACATACAGCACTGTACTAATCTCACTCCTCCAGAGATTACTTTCTTCTTTTTATATTAGTGTTTCTGGCTCCAAAAAAAAAGTATCTCAAGTATGTAACTGAAATTCACTCACCACCTGTCCCTTCTCAACTTGCTCACTTGAGGATTTGGGTAATGTATCTAACCCATTTTCGAACAATGAAAAAGCAGCTCTCCCACCCCAGGCTGCTCCAGCACCGCTGTGAAGCAGTACTGCAGCTGTAACACAGCCACAACAAACATGAAGTTCAGCGCGCTCGTTTCACATGTTCTTTAATTTCAAACAGAGGGATTTTGGTTGTGTTTGTTTCTCAATTACTTTATATAGAAAACAGAATTCAGGATATGGCATTTCAGGACATCATGTAGAGCAAGAGAAGTATAGTTTCAAACACTTAGAATACTACAGTTAAGTCACTGCTGTGCTCAAGAATTAAGGAGGTGTTCCGATGAAGAGATGAAAATGTCATACACATTTGCTAAAGGGATGAAGTTTTTTTCATCAGGCAACTGCAACATCAAGTATCTCGAGACATTAACAATCCATTATTGTGTGTATGTAAATACACACACTGTAAATATGCTGACTGCTAAGTCAAGATTACAATTAGAATTGCAATTTTACGTGTGCAGCGAATAGAAACTTTATAGTTTAACGGTGAGAAGAAACTAGCCATTTGCAAAATGAGGTTCCAACTTTATCCCACTGACAGCATTTCAGGACAAAAAAGTCACATGGAATACCACCATCAAGCTATTACAACCCTGTATTTTTAGAAAATTACACTCTGGTACATCAATCCCTCTCAATGTGACACACATGGTATTATCTTGCTCTTCAATCCCTAAGGCTATTCAACACTAACTTGAAGCTGGGTGCTTGGCTTGCATATGCAACTGTTGCAGTTGTGCAGTCATAGCTGACAACTGCCACTGCAGAGCAATAGTTATGATCATTCATGCATGGAATATTTGCTTTAAGATGTGGATAACTACATAAAAATAGCAGACACCATTCTGCATTCACTTCCCAGCACGAGGCTTCAAGACATTTTAGGTATCTATTTATACCAAATCTGGCCAAAGAGTGCAGACAGGAGCGTACAGCTCCATAAAATGAAGGCTACCTAAGCAGCCTCTACCAGATCCTACAAAAATTAACAGTAAGTGTATATGCAACTGGGCATCTTAAAATAATAGTAAGGGCAATAATTAGATTAAGGAATATCTTGATTTCTACCATCATGTATCAGTTTCAGTTTTCTAAGATCGGGTGTTGTGCAAGGATACCAGACAATCTTATTTGGAAACTATGTTTCATGCATAACTTCTGAAGATACACAATGCCCTACAGAATAATTCACTTCTTGTGAATACTTCATGAAAACACTGGCTCTGGTGTCACCATGTAAGGAACAACTTACAAAGGATCCAGGTGGCTTTAGAACATCCATCCAATATGGTTTTGTAGTCTGTCTACAGACAGGCTTTTTAGGAACCTCACAAGAAAAAACATCCTTAGATTTCTTTCTGCTGTGTATGGAAGAAGTATCTGGTTGACCAGACAGGTACTAAGGATTCCACTCTTAAGTCATTTTATTTTAAGCTCAGCAAAAGCAAAGCATTACCCTGACAATTCAGTGCTACTGTCTGGTCAGCTGTTGTCAGAAACAGTGAGGAAAGACCTCAGAATTTTGTTAAGTTCCAGATGAGCAGTTAATTTAGCAGTCTTGTTCAGGACTGATAGTGGGGGTCAGCCCAACTGCAGGCTACAGTTGTTGCCAACAGATCCTTAACTACAGTCCTCTGTTTGCTGGTCTCCTTGATCACACATTTGTAAGGCATCTAGCAAAGCATGAGAGTGTTTTCCGAGACCTCTTCATAACCCTGGAGTGCGAACAACAGGGATGACTTCGCTCACAAACGATTTAAAGTTCCAAGCTGTCACAGATCACTAAGTGACTACTGAACACTGGAAGGAAAATGGACATTCTGCTGGCTTTCCCCTTCAGCTGGGAGCTGGCTGTGCCAGCCAAGTCCACTGTGGTAGCTAACAGTGTGTGTAAAATTGCCCTGCAATATTATTATAGATACACTCACAAGAGGCCAGTTCAAAGCTTCAATCCTCCCCTGGTGCCCTGCATACGGCCTTTTCTTAAAAAAACAAAAACAAAAACAAAAAAAAACCCACAAACTTTTTTGAGGCAGTTTTTCAGCAAAACAAAGGGCTCTCACAGGGCTCTTTTTGCTTAAAGCAAATTAGGAATTCAGCTTTTCTGATAACACATTTTAGTGATATCAATATATTTATAGCCTCTTAAAAAAATACTGGATAGCTCCACCTCCCTTCAGTAAAGGTTCTCTCAAACACAATCTTCAAAGCCATGAAAACTAATTTTGCAACATCACTTATAACCTTGTCTTTCTGAAAAGGTTCTTTTAAAGTGTTTCATATAAAAGTTCTCTTTACCTTCTACTGCCCAGAAAGCATCTTTTTCTTGATCAGTTGTGCCCAATTTGTCATTCTGATCTCGCTGCTTCGTTCTTTCCAGCTCATCTCCCATCTCCTCTGCCCTTTACAGGCATACTTGAATAGCTTTGTCACTTCCATCCTGAGCAGACAAGGCACTCGCATTTTAAAATGCTGAAGATACCCCTCTCATTTCAGCTGAATCTTCTGCAGGTACTGCCAGAGTTGTGTTCATAAGCTGAACACACCAGTGAAGATTTTTTTCCTCCTACTTTCTCATTAAACATCACATAAAATTTCACTTCTTTGCACTTGCAAAGCAGGAAACCCTTGAGACACAAGTGGAACAAATATAAAGGTCAACAAGTGTGGCAGACAGGTTGCAAACTGAACAGTTTTTCCACGAAAACACAGGAATAATGAAGGAATGAAAGAAGTCACTTCTAAAAGACCTATCTTAAACCTGAAAGGTGCTATGAAAACTTGTTGCCGATGGTTTTTGGACCTTACCTAAGAATATACAGGATTTTACCTGCTCGAAAGTTGCGTCATCTACTGAAGTTCAACACGTTAAAACACATTATGTATTTTGTAGTAAAAGTATGCTTAGAACAAGATTACCTTAACCTTACTTTCAACATGTTACTAAGCATCTTCACTACTGCACCCAGCTAAACTGAAAAATGGGAAGTTACCTTGTACCTCAGCAGTCAGGACGGTTGCTCTGAACAACACTTACGTGTGTCAGGCTCAGGATGGGGTGGTTTGGATGGATTTTAAGATTAGGCTGGAAAAAACAATAAATCATCCTGGAACAAGGCTTTCCTTATGCCATAAACTAAGTTGACAGAGAATACTGTTTTCTCCCCCCCTCTAAGGCTGTGAGAACATGACAAAAGTAACAAAGGAAACATTAATTTGGGGGCTTTATTTAATTTCTTTTCTTTTTTTTTCTTTTTTTTTCTTTTTTTTTTTTTTTTTAAGATGCTACATAGTCAAACAGGATTGGTCTTTTACGGCATAGGACTAGTTTACTACTAATATTTTTTTTCCCCTAGACTTATTTACATACAAAACCAGTTTCCTGACCACTGTTTCTCCAATGCTCAGATAATCAAAACTCCCAACAATGGTGTAGTGCCCAAAACACCAGGAGGCAGAAGAATCTCGCATCACTACAGCAGCAAATTTTTAGTTCTAGTCACTGGCTTTAAACAGGTGCCTTTTCATACCATATAGTATTAGTCAATTTTGTGACAAGAAGGAAACATGAGATGAAATACATTAAATAAGTTAAATATGCATTAAACATCTCTGAATAACATTTTCATTCAGCTAAATGAACCAACAGCAATGTAGCTTGGTCCCTTTATGAGAACAAGGCATTGACCTTTATTCCAAATGAGCGTCATACCAGTCAATATGCCTCTTAATGATGCCTAGCACATTCAGCATTGCCACATACAATTCTTTTCAGTTTCTCACAATTCATTTAAGTGCCAAGAAATCGGTAACTTGCACAGAGTTGAAGACACTGACAGAAACTGTTAAATTTATGAGCAGAATGGTGGATTAATGTATTTTACAGAAGTTTATCAACACCTCCTGCCTAACCCAGCTCCAAACATCCAATAGGGCCAGCTCCAGCAGTGGAGGAAGAGTTTTTTCTATTTTCCTTTTTTTTTTTTCCTTTTTTTTTTCCTTTTTTTAAAAAGAGGTCATCCAGCAACATGTACCAGGGTCTAAGAATGTTTAAAATGACATATACAATATTCCATTGTAGTGTTAAATCGTGATTTTCTCCCCCCTTCATCACTGAAGCATATTCTCTTTCATTCATCCTCTCATTGTACATTTTAAACTTTCTAGATTACGTTACATAGTATTTGTGCAGGGGTAATTTAAAGGCAAGACCTGTGAGATGTCATACATTAAGTTTTTTTTTTAAACATTGTTATGAATAAATTTAATCCAATGATATGGCAGAACCATCAAACCAATTTACAATTTCCAGCATGCTGCCTCTACAAGGCTATTTTTCCTATAATTACACCAAAGACAAAGAACAAAACCACCAAAGCAAGTAGTCTGGAGCTGAACCCTTCGTCCTTGACAGCAGCTGCAGAAGCAGATATTGGGTTGTTTGTCTGGGGTGCCTTCCTCATCCGCAGTCCATCTTCTTCCTAAAGGAAGAGAGATTATTTCTACTGAAAAACAGCTTGAAATATTCTCCCTTATCATATTTATTTTAGGTGGGCATAATAACACAGGTGAAAGCTAATTTACAGCTAATTTAGAACTCTTATTTCCTAAATAATCCTGACAAGGAAAGGGTAGTGAGGTAGGAAAAGAATTCTGTATCTACTTGACTAGCAGAGCAAAATCCACATGCTCTTGGAATTTTTCTCCTGCTGACTAAGGTAACAGGGGAAGAAACGAGGAAGCCTTGTCCAAAGTCTGCAGAGAGCTCCAGATCTTCAAAAGCAATGATGGAAGGAATGGTATGAAGGTGCTTTTCTTGCTCTGTAAGCAAATACAGCACTGCTGGGGAAAATGCTTTTCAGTATAGCTAAAATCGGTTGTGAAAAATATGCATCTTTAAGCCAGTTATGTTCATCATTCACCTAGTTAGGTGTCACAAGCAAATTTTATCATCATTTGAAAGGAAATCTATTTCCCCCATCATATTAATGCTGACATTTTGACATGAAACTAATGGCACTAATTAGGATATATTCTTGGTGTGAGTTTGACAGCTCTCTCAATTTAAAGATGTATGAGACAACAGATAAAACAACACCAGATAGTATCATTTCCAGTGGAGACTATGTTCCCCACATCTTGATGTAAACTGTTGTGCAGCACAGCTGTGTGTTAGCACACTCCATTACACACACACACAGAGCACTTTAGGAGACAGCAAAATGAGCCTTTTGTGACCTAACTTGTATACAGCCAAAGCAGTAGTGTTAGACTTTATGTGGTACAGTATTATATTGCAAAAGCATAAGATACTGAAGCAAAAGCCTCAAGTCTATACATAACAAATACCTAATAAAATAATAAAAAGTTACTGCAGCCTTAAAAATTGTCAGATAAGTGAAACTCTAAAGGCTCAGAGTATGTCAGTGTTTCTCACTTTTGAATTTAAAGGGGCAAGAACACAAGGAGAAGGTTGTGTCTCACCTATATACATTGTTAATTCTATGTGCAGAACAAAACTGTTTTACAAATGTCTAAAGAATTCCTTTATGCATCAGCCAAGCCAAGCAGCACGAGTGCTGCCAGAACAGAGCTCCTTTCACTGAGCTCCAATAGGCACAAATTCCAAATTTTCACTGATGCCATTATCTGTGATCTAGGCATTTACAACAAATGAAACTGCTGTAAAAAGAGTTTCTCAGCATGGTGTTAAAGGCTTCCCATTTATTTGATTTCACAGCAATGTGCTGGATTTGATAGGAAGCATATTTCCTATTAATGTGTCTCACTTTGGTCATTTTAACTGTATTGTATCATGTATGTATTGTACATGCAATTACTAAAACGGCATTTGCACAACACTGCCCTCAAGCTCCCATCAGTTTGAGAGAACAGGGGCAGATCCAACACTGAATGCTTACTTCAGACTGAGAAAAACAGGTGGAAAAAGAAGAAAAAAAAAAAAAAAGAGAAGGAATTAACTACCTTGCTACCCAATCAGTTTCTCTGACTGCACAACTTGGACGCCCCTTTCAAAGGGAGCATTGATTTCAACATTTTTTCCTCAGTTTATAGAGGAAAAACCTAAATTATCTTTTAATTTACAGACAATATTAGAATATCATGCCAAGGTCAGGGAACCAAACCTTTAAGTTGAAAGCTTCTTTTTCAGGAAAGGGGTAACTCTGGAAAAAAAATAAAAAAGTATCTTTACCTTAAACTGTTTATTCTCCTCCCGTAACCTCTGAACTTCTACTTGAAGCCTCTTATAGTCTTCCATTATTTTCTTAACTTCAGTGTCATCCAAAGAAGAACTTATTGATTTAGACATTACAGAGGAATCTGTCTTTGTTGCAGTTGTGGATACAATTTTATTTATTTCTATGTCATGCTGTTAAAAAAGGACAGAGTGATTTTTGGTTAGTTGTTAACACCACACCACACACCTGATATTTAGGAGGAGAATCGTGTAAAATTGCCTTTGCACACCTGACACGTGCCTGTATCAAAAGAAATAAAACAGCATTTTTCTTTCTGTAACCTTTACTTCCCATTTCTGTTCCACAAAAAACACTAGATCAGCAACTGTAAGTGCAGACAGAATGACCTCGACTTTTCAGTCCCCGCATACATAGGAAAGGAAATATCCTTAGACTATACAATGTGAGCGGGAACTTATTTGCTCATGGTCTTCTTATGGAGTGTTAGTGCTCTCCTAGCCTTTCCCTCCCCAAGCACAAACAAAAGCAGCTCCTGGTTCCAAAAGGAACCAGGGCATTGCCAGGAGCTACCTGCCTGCTGTGCTACGGTTCTCTCTCTATTCACTTCCCAGAGCTGGTTGTCAACTCTTCATCTCGGTGACATTATAACAATCGGAATTACAAGCTGCCCAGTGAAAGACAGAACAATTGTGCATTCAGCACCTACCTGCTAGGAAACATTTCTCAGTTTATTCTCTCCATTATCAGTTCTATATTTGACACTACATACTTCCATTAAAAATTAATGCATTCACTACCCTAAAAAAAAAAGGATCCTGCAATATTATAGCTGCTAATAGCAACATAATCCCCAACTGCAGCTGTGTCTTCCTTACTAGCTTTCTGCCTATTTACTTGCTAAAATCAGTGTTGTATCAAGGAAGCCAAAAGGGAGTGTTGGACAGGCAAATTAATACTGCTGACAGTTACACCTGCTTCAGGATAAACTCTCAGCTTTATGACCATCAATCACAATCTTTCAATTTTTAAAAGAATATTCTTTATCCTGCAGTCTTTCACTAAATGACAACAGATCACCTCAAAGACTTGGGCTAGTGTTGCACTTACATTGTTCAAATTATCTGCTCATTACATTAAGCATCGCTAAAATTTTTAAATAGTTTATACTGTGTTTTCAAAAGGTGATGCCATCCAGGCAGTGAAAGAGATGGTTCTGTCTTTTGCTTATATAGCTGTCTGTATAAACATGCCATTTTACATGATTTATTGTGGTATTATGTCAAAACACTCAATATGCAGTTTGAAATACTCACAGGCTTGTCATTTTCTGCTGGTAGCTCAAACACACACCTAAGCTTCGAATCCATAAGTTCTTCTGGTTTTGCTTCTTTCCACTAGAATAATTTATTATTAATTTAATATTAAACATATCAGTATAATAAAGGCAGATGAAAAATGCAGTTCATGAGATAAGAAAATACCATCATCTTACAAAAAACCCACAGGTGTTTATCATGTTACCATTAGATGATGAAAATTAAACCAAATGTGTAACTGAGAAGCATCAAAGGAAGACCAGATACTATGAAGGAAATAATTCTAAGTAGTCAGAAAAAAACCCATAGGTAATTTATGAGGGAACTGGGAACTGTGTAAGAGTAACGAGCATAGATAGGGGGAGCTATGGTCCTGATTTAGGGGGAAAAAGCAAAAAAATAAAAGAGGGGTGCATTAAAGGAAGGGAAAGGTAACAAAACCTCTAATCAGTAAATGTTAGTTTTGAAGTCTTTGTTCAGCAGAGTTCCTGCTTTTCAAATTCCACATGAGGTTTTCTTCCTGACTGGTATGAGCTACAGAACTGTTCTTCCCCATCCTTGTTTTCCACCTCCCTATTTTTCAGCATCAATGTCTAAATAATAATAACAGATGCGCAACACATAGAAAGGGATAGTTTCCCCTCTCGTCCTTCTCTACCCTTCAACTAGGGAGTCTACCATAAACAAGTTCCCTTTCAATATTTTTAATAAGGATTAACAGTTATAAATCTTTGCTCAATATCAGCTGTAACCCTGAACTGAGAGGCCTGATTCATAGTAGTGATACACAGCAAGCAGCGTACACATTTACATCCTGGATTTCTCTCATGCTTTTCTTCACTTTGACCCTACTTCTGGTAGCATGGTATTGCTCAGCATATCTCAAGTAGGTGTCAGATCATGGCTAACCCCTGTGAAACCTGAGTAAGTATTTGACTCATCCTAAATAGCAGAATCATACTTCAGATCTTCTGTGGCTAAAGTCAGAGTTGTATTTCGAGCTCCTTGGCTGCCCGTGAAGTGTTGAAAGCTTTATAGTACTGCAGTAATTTGTCTCACCTGTTTATCCAGAATAGGAAGAGACATGGAGAGTGGTAACAAAGCTGAGAAATGATAAAGTGGTACAGGAAAAGAAATCATATTGGTCTGTAGAGCTCTGGAAAATTGGAAGGGTCACCTAGGTCCTAGAAAATGTTCGTTGCTAGCAGAATAACATTTTTCATGGTATAAAGTAACTCATAAAAATTAAAAGGTTTAGAAAGAAAGGCAGCCTGGCTTATCTTTCGAGTGATGCAGGCATTTTATTACTATTGCTGTTTTTCCCACTGGATCTTATTTTGAGGCCATTAAACAAGTATAGTTCCATAAATCTCTTTCAGAAAGGAAATTCTTAACCCTGCAGAGTCCCGCAGCTTTGAAAAGCTATTCCAAAGATGATACATATTGTAAAGACTACTGTAAAAAAGCCATGATACGTACTCTGAGGTTTTTGGGGTTGGCTTTTTAAAGTAATACGCATGCATACAAACACACACAAGACCCACACTTCAGAGCAATGGCCTTTTTCTTCTTTTTTATTGTGTCCTCACTAGCTACTGAATATTCTCTCAAGCCAACAAAAGCCAGACTAGAGAAAGCTTCCTTGTGCCTTCTTGCAGTAGCAAATTTTGCTGTTATAGGAAAGCCATCAGTTGACATACTGGTTTGTTCCTTTCCAAGTTGTCTTAATGTAGCCTGACATCTTATTTCTACATCTTTTGCCCTTCCTCGCTTCAGCACCTACACGCTTCTGTTACTCTCCTTTGTAATCCACAGGACAAAGTCTATGAGGGCCTTTCATCTACCTAAGCCATAAAAACCATATAGGTATAAAGAAAAAAGCAGTACTTGTAAATCATTCTCCTGGAAAAAGGGGCTGCTCAAGAGAAGACTCAAGTCTGAGAGTAGAGGCATAAATGTGAAAACATGCCACAGACATAGAATATATTCTACATGTTCTTAGAATATATAGTTCAAGTTGTCCTTTCTAAAAAATTATATACTGGAAAAAACACAACTATTTTTTTTTTCATGGCTTGGTATCTTATTAGTGACAGCACTGTCTTATAGAAGCAACTACAGATACCTATTGTGTCTTTCAGCACAAGATTCCTGGAGCTCGAAATAAACAGAAAACACCTTGCCAGGCAGAGATGGAAATCTGGCAAAGCTTTCAAGAATCATTCCGGTGTGATCTGACAACAGCCCTTAGGCAACACAACGAAAGGTCTTATAAAATTACACAATTGTAAAGAAATACATTTTAATTCATTTCAATACTTACTACTGCTTCCATGTCTGAAGTATCAGCTGGAGCAAACATAGACTGAACCATAAACTTGTGTTTACTTTTCTCATTAGGGTCATAGTCAAAAGGCTGTAACATCACTGCAAGAAAAACCCCAAAATACATTATCTTAATATTGCTCTGATGCAGACATGCACTGATGATACAGTTACCAGATTTGAGAAACAGAAACATTCAAATGGTTTCAAGCTGTATGTACGTTATGACCAAAACAGCTTCAAGAGGTAAGAGAAACAGACTTCAAACTGTCTAGATTTTTATCTGAGAATTTTGGAAGTGCTGATAATGCTACAATATTCTGTATACAAACTATGGCGAGATAATAATAGTAATTCATAGTAAATAGGGTAATTTACATATCTTCTGGGACAGAGGGAAATATCCTCCAAGAAAGCATCTGTTTTCCTTCTTCCTTGGGGCAGAAGTAACAAGCTGGCATTTTAAATAGTTGTACACCTACTGCTGATGGCTCCTGAGAAAAACTACAGAGACAATCTCAAACATTTTAAACCTTGAGGTTCAAGTCTCAGGATGGAAAATTTCCTCTACAAAGTTTAAGAGTCTCATGGTATTTGTTTTATCAAGTGCAAATATTTCTCTTCCAAAAATAAGTTGCTGAAAGTTTGTTACCAATTTATAGCTGGAAGTTTATGGTTAAATGCTATATAAACTTAGCCTCTGAAAGGTATGCAAGAAATCTATTTCTCTCCATTCGAAAATCACAAACAGTCCAGCATTTGCTTATGGAGAAAATGACTGTGTTCAGGGGCAGAGAGCAAGGAACAGAAGGTTTAAGGGGGGTATGTGCTTTTCAAAAATTTATTTATATAGT